AACAACCTCTGGGCTGATCTAAGGACACGGCTAACTCCCAGATCATCCTTAAACAACCTTTGAGCTGATCTAATTCAGTGCACGAGGGAGAAAACCAGAGAATCTGTAGATGACACCTCGAATCAAGGAATTCCATAATCGGATTATCAACAGATGGAGGGCCATAATGAAAACTACTGGGTTACCAGTAATGTCGTCTGCCCTCATAAAATAAAGTTATATTATTATATAATTACCAATGAAATATCTACTTTTCTCTATTTCGAAAAATTGATATCTTCACACGTGAAAATAACATGTTATTTTCACGTGTGAAAATAACACCATTGCGATGGCTATTCAAAAATACACGGAAAGAATTGCCTGAAAAAGCCAAAACATACTTCATTTATAATTATATAATAAACAGAATATTACATGGGCGCTTGGAGATACGCAATTTATCTTCTCGTGTTGAAAATCTCTCACTCGTTCGCTGCGCTCACTTGTGAGAGATCTTTTCAACACTTGAAGATAAATTTCGTATCTCCGCGCGCCCATGTAATATCCTCTATTTATTATTATTATTATTATTAGATGTTTGTCATTTGRGACTCTTTAGTAATCTCTTCGTATCTACCAATCAGATTGTTTCGCGTCGATGGGTACTTCATATGGTACACCAGAAGAGCCCCTTGTTTCCAATACCTCGGGCTATGAACACAACCACGCGGATGGTAGAGGTCACGTGATCGCATCCAAAAGAGAAGAAATTGTACCTGGAGGAATCTGGTGCGCTGAAAAACCTGACACCAGGCAGTATGTACAGATAGATGTGAAAAAACCGGTTAAAGTCACAGGTACGTAGCTTGAATTGAAACTCTGTTGTAGGTTTTTTGACTCACGGAATTTCTTTACTCTTTACAGGTTTAGGTACACAAGGACGAATAACTGATGATTATTGGGTGTCCAAGTATCGCGTATCATACAGCATCAACGGTATCACATGGAATAACTACACCGAGAATTATCAACTAAAGGTATAAAACTACGTGGCCCTACTGAACTATGCATACTTTCCTGTAAATGCCATTTCAATCCTAGTCGTCTTCCTCTTCCACTTAAAAAAAGGCGTCAACAAAAGCCGATAAATTTTGGAATTTGTAAATTGTTATTTTAGGGGGGGGAGGATTGAGTTTGTAGTTGATTTATTTTATTTTTATTTGGAGACTTTATCACGCTTGAGTTGTAACAAAAAAAAAGCAAACAAGCGTGATGATGGGCAGATTAACGGGCTCTAAGGTCCGGGCGAAGTGCGCATCCCCCCCCACAAAAATGACAGCAAAGTTTAGGCCGCAGACTGCTGATACTCAGCATCACCTTCTAGTATCGTTCTCTACTGAAATAACTAATTCTTTCCTTTTTCGTAGATTTTTACTGGTAACGATGATAAAGACACATTATCGATCCGTCACCTCAAGCATCCTATCACAGCTCGCTATGTACGTTTACACCCGCTGAAATGGCATGGCGGGCTCATTTGCATGAGGGCAGAAGTCTTTGGATGCGATCACTCGTGTAAGTTAATATGAATTAAATTTTTTGGTTTTGTTAGTGATTTTCTATGGAAATCTACATCGATTATAGACAAATTTAATCATCCACCGCCTTATTGGATGACAAATGTAATCATCCTCCGCCATATTGGATGACAAGTTTAATTCTTCTCCGCCATGATGGATGGCCAATTTCATCCTTGTCCTCCATATTGGATGACAAGTTTGATCATTCCTCCGTCATAATGGATGACAAATTTGATCATCCTCCGCCATATTGGATGACAAATGTAATTCTCTTCCACCATATTAAATCTGATCAAGTAAGACAGGGGATTGTTTTACCTTTCAGCAAACGTGGTGCAGCATCAACCACTCTTGAGTGCTAAAAATAACCAACAGACGAAAAAGGGCGACATCAGACAGCCACAAAAACCAGTCGAAGCCAAGCCAACACAAAAAATTAATACAATCAAAGAACACAATTCTGGTCATCTTACAAATATCAAGRGCGACTATGGACACCTCGCGGCCGCACCACATGACAACAAAGTACTACCAACAGCAAAGAAGACCAATACGCATGCGCAAAACCAAGTTCAAATTCAAGCTCAAAATCATCTCATGGCACCAAGCCCGAAAAACGTTTTGGCGGGAAAAACGAGTGTTCAGTCGACTGCTGCGAAAACAGGAAATTCAAGATACGTCATTGCTTCGCACACATTACCCCATGTACCAAGCCGTATACAAAATCGTATCTTTCTTTCTAAACCTTCACATAATAGACTATCTGAGTTCTACTTCGGCCATCAACAAAAAGTATTTAACCAGTATATTCCAAGTAATTTGTATACGAACCAAAGACTTTCCAATTTTCATTATGGCAATAGACTAATTCCTAGGATTCAACCTTATAAATCCTTAGTAAAGTATCCTAATGGTCTTGGAGCACAGGCGATAGTAATGCCGTCCGTAGGTGCTTTAAAAAGCAACTCAAGAACATTTGATAATCAAAGACTTACGACAGGAACATTTATTGGGGGTCAAAGGTTTTCATCAGGTGCAAAGGTGCTACAATCTGGACCATCGCGTTCTTATAATCCATCTTCATACACTGGGAAGACGAGGGTTCTTGCTGGTAATATAAATGCTGCAGAAACTCCACGAATTAAGCCTGGGAGTCCTGTCAGAAACCAGTATTTTTTACCTCAATTGAAAGTTGTTCCAAAGCCGACTTTAAAGGCTTTAAAAAGAGTACAAACAAAAATTGCGTTGATAAAGAACTATTCATTGGTTAGAGAACCAAAATTAGTTTTACTACAAAATGCAAGCTCAACCCAAAATTCAATAACCTTGAGCTTGAGAGAAAAGTTTAAAGATTCTGATCTTCATCATTTTCTGGATGAACGCTTATCAAAGGAGGTTTCAAAAGAGGAAGAAGCGTCGAAGAACACTAAGGTTGATAGATACCTCGATTATAACTGGTCAGCTTTTGGTCCTTGTACTGCTAGCTGTGGAAAGGGAGTCAAGGAGAGATACCGGAGATGTAATGCAATGGAGTGTTTGGCTGATGGATCAGAGATACAGATCCTTCCCTGCTTCAATCCTCCTTGTAAAGGTGCGTGAGATTGTTAAAGTAAAACCTTCACTTGCTCCAACCCCGGTGGGGAGTGTTGGATGCAGGTGACTGATATCAAGTTGTCTTGTTTCTTTTTTCTTTGTTTTTTTTTTTTTTTTT